ACTTCCGCGTATCGACGCCAATCCTTGATGCGAGCTCACCAAGGTCGGTCTTGGTTGAAAGGGAAGGGGGCATCATTCGGGCCTTTAGGTGTTGATAGAAATACCCGCATGAAGTGGGCGTTGGAGACTAAAAATCGGGCGAATGATTTGTATCGGGATGGTCGACTAGAGGAAGCTCAGCAGCTATACGTTGATTGCCTCTCTGCTATAGACGATTCACTCGAGATGAAAGGAAAAGTACTCCGCTCCAGTCGTTGAAACTAGAGGAGTCTTCGTGCTTTGGCATATCGTCAAATTTCTAGACTGGACCAAGTGCAAGTGTTTGTTGTTGAGCACCGCAAAGATATTGGCAAAGTTTTATGGGAAATACCGTTTTCCGAAGTTACTGCTCGTACCAGTTAGAATAGATTGCTCAGTGAGTATCGTGAAGAGGCAATGCGATTTTATGGTCAATCCTGGGAAAACGAATATGTGTCATGAGCGTTGTCGATCATCGACTGTTGTTTCGTTGGACTCTCTCAGAGTTATAATGTAGTGATATCTATACCTGAGACTCAGAATAAGATGGTTACTAGGAAGCACAAGGTCGTTGATTGTCAGGTATTGTTACCGGTATTGGCTAATCTTGCGGCTTGCATGATCGAACTCGGTCACTATGGAAAATGCGTAGAATTGTGCTCTACCTCCATAGAAACTATCGAGGGCGCTGAGTACGATTTCGATCGAGATAAAACGCATCAAATTTTGAGGAGGTAAGCCTCTCACGAGCCTGGTATGGTCCATATTTCGTCAGGCGTGGTATCGCCTACTACCACCTCGGGAAATACGAGAAAGCTCGAGAGGACCTCGAACGAGTGCCGGGCGAATTGCCGGATGTGAATGGCTACTTGAAAGCTCTGCGTAGAAAGCAACGAGAAGAGCGAAAGCTCTGTTCTAGGATGCTCCAGTCGCGGGAGATTTATCCGGACAAGACAGTTGAACATGAAGTGGAAGAGTTGAATTCTGAGGAAGCAACAGTTGATGCGAATAAGGAGTCGGGTTCGATTTCGTCATGGTTGTTGCTCCCATGCTGTAGGAGGCGTCAAAGGCCTCGTCGGGATTTGTGATGATTGCGCGGGGTTTTTGGTTCACCTCTAACCGTGGTCGTCGCTATCGTCAGTTGGACTGTATTCGATTACTATGGCGCCCGCGAGCAAGGCTTCAATCACTGTCAAAGCCTCGCTAGTGACAACTCATGAAGTGGAGGCATGGAAAGAGCTGATCACAAAGGTGAATGGGGAATACATATGAAGTTGACGTGAGTTTTTAACGGAACTTAGGAAACGAAGATTGCTAAACCAAGTGAGGACAAAGCTCTTGCAGAGATAGGAGACGATTTGTATAGGGAAAACAATTATTTCGGCTTTTATAAGGTCGGAGTGATGACATGTACTCGGACGGTGCTCCTCAGAGCTTCACTTTAGGTTAATGGAGCTTCTGATACACAAAAACCCAGTAGAAAATTTACTCTCGATAAGATACTCTGCGACGAAGGTTTTGATCCTAAGTGGGTGACCATGAATTTCGACAGTAGCTTAGGTTTACTATAGGTGTGCCAAGGACACCACGAACGCTGAGCATGTTCGCCGACAGCGCGGCTTGGAATCTACCAGACCAATACGAACGAATCAAGCATACGGTTGGTTGAGGCCGATCGATCAGCCTAAGTACGGCTTTGAACGTAGAAGTTTTCATCTATAGTGCTCACATGTATGGCATGATATCTTGGAGAGTGTTAAACGTTCTGTGTTGTCCTCGACTTTGTATATGTTTGGTTCTCTTACTTAAGTTCATTAGTTTCTCCACTACATCGTTAAAATTGTTAGCAACGCGAAGCGTATTACTCGGGTCTACGGGCGGCAGTGTGGGGGGAAAACATGCATACGGTCAACTACGTGGAAACTCCGAGAAAATTTTGGGAAATTTTTGTTGGTTTTTGTACACTCGTGCCTTTTCGAGATTTTCATATTATCATCGACACATGTGGGTGGCCATGTGCATATTTTCCCACACTGCACAATAGTAGCCCATCGCCGACAGCGCGCCTCCGCGCAAGGTAACGCATTTGAGGGTACTAGACTCACCACGAAAACTCCGCGCGTGGATGAAATATAATATTCCATCGGTCCCAGAGTCCAGCAGCATCACAATGGTATCAAGAATCCAGATGCTAAGGTTCTAACGCTGAAACGCATAGGCGAGCTTACGGTAGTGAGACATCGCGCAGAAGTTGTCGACCTCCATCTTGACATCGTTGATCTCAAAAGACGATGTTGCACAAGCTTATTCCTAGTGTCACTTTGGAAGTGGGCTGAGACAGGTTTAGAGACTTGAGCCGCTCAATGCCATTATTGCTCGAGTTGAGCGATAATGGCATTTGCCCTTCATAAATGCAATGCTCGAGATTCTCATCCACGAAGAATAATCATAATTCACACTGATAACGCCAAGCTGCATGTTGCTAGGGTAACTGGGTGGAGGAGAGAAATTGGTTTTAGCCTCAGTTATCTTTTCGTCTTCCACACGGAAT